TCAGTACAGATCATGATGCCACATGGAGTTACCTGGACTCAAAGTACAGAGATTCTAGATTCTTAGCAGACACAATAACACACAATATCACAAAGTTCAGACCTCCTCGTGATGGAGAAAATGCTCGATTTTTCAATTTGGTGCATCTTCTGCACAAACGTTTCAGTACACTTAAGGAGGTTGGACAACTCCATGACAGACAACAACCACATGTTGGCCCTAACTGAGCAGAGAATGTGTACCGACGACCGTAAAGTATGAGCACTTCAACAGGAAAACAGCAGAAAGGAGGCCACCCTGGCACAGCTTATTGCGTGGATGAATACTAAATATTAGTATTTATTATTAGTAAATAATAAATGAAATCCAGGATGAGAGCAACCACACCTTTGAGAAGCACAGGCCAACCAACAAGGCATCCTGTTGACCATATTGGATCTAATCTTAATGCTCCAAAGTCAGGTCTCCTGCACAAGTGTTGGATTTGCAAAACTCCAAGCCACTGGACTGACCAGTGCCAGAAGTTTGTCTTGCTTCGTCTAGAAAATAGGGTAAAGGCAGTGAAAGAGAACCATGCATGGTTCAGCTGCTTGAAACATGCCGGACGAGATCATAGGTCCAACAATTGGTCCAGAAGATGCCAGTGTCCTCAAAAAAAGCAATGGACACCAATGCCCTTATCACCATCACCCTCTCTTACACAGAGCAATTCAGTCAACTGTCACAATTGTTGCGTCAGTGACTAACAACCAGAAAGCATTGTTGCCCATCGTGCAAGTGGACATTGTTGGATTAGGCCGTCTTTGGCTGAGAGCGAATGTGTTAATTGATTCAGGAGCTCAGATAAGCTTAATCAGATTGAGCGTGGCTAAAGACCTCAAAATGAAAGGAAGGAATATAGACCAAACTGTCTGAAAGGTGGAAAAGGCTATTCCAAGAGATGGTACAGTTGAATGGGGTGCGGTTTGATAGATGTCTTACGCTAACAAAAGCAATTATCATAAAATGTTCACACTTTTTATCATAAAATGTTCATGCCTTGCATTTAATCGACCTTGCTTATCCCATTCAGAGATAAAGTATAATTTGAATGGAGATTCCAGTTTGTCGAGTTGGGGGTCAAATGTACTTCATTTTAATATTTTGGTTTAACTTGCATTCGCTATATAGGCCTCTCAAAAGCATATGAAGTTGTATACTGATGACCCCCACAAAGACAGGCTGAAAATGATATAAATTCTACATTGGGGCCTTCCTTAATCCCTTGAATAAACTTCAGACAATAGATTTAGTCGATGCTTTTGTGAATTACCGTAAATTTCTCAGTTTGAATAATTTTTGTTGGGGACTTCCTTGTGACCCTCTGAATAAATTTTGTAGATTTCGTAAATGATCTGGTGAATTACCGTAAATCTTGTAGTTTTCCTAACCCTTTGAATAATTTTCGTAGATTTCATGGATGGGCCAGCGAATTCTCGTAAATTTAAGTTTTTGTAAATTTCGTAAAATTCTAAATTGTTGCAAATCTTGTTTGGGACTTTCTTGGAACCCTTTGAATAAATTTCGTATATTTCATGGATGGGTAGGCAAATTATCAAAAATTTCGCAGTTTTTATAAATTTTGTAAAATTCATAATTGATTCCTAAATTTAGATGGGCCTTCCTTGCAACCCTTTGAAAAAATTTCAGATTTTGTGGATGGGCTTTGGAATTCTCGTAAATTTTCATAGATTTTGCAAAATTGGGGACTTTCAAGTAACACTTTGAATAAATTTCGTATATTTTGTGGAGGGACTGGCGAATTCTCATAAATTTCCGTTTTCATAAATTTCGTAACCTTTGCAACTATTGTTGGGCACTTCCTTGTAACCCTTTGAATAAATTTCGTATATTTCCTGGATGGGCAGGCAAATTATCGTAAATTTCGCAGTTTTCGTAAATTTCATAAAATTCCTAATTTTCGTAACTTTGGACAGGCCTTCCTTGCAACCCTTTAAAATAAATTGCATAGATTTCTTTGATAGTTTAGAGAATTATCATAAAATTTGTAATCTTCACAAATTTCTTTGGGGACTTGTCCTAAAACATATCTTGTCTTAAAACACATCTTTTTGAGTTAGCTTTAAGCCTTTAGCACTTAAATTACTTTGTTATTGTTAAATTTACTTCATATACACATTTAGTGTATTTTAACATTGTAATGCACTTTTGATCATTATATGTTAAAAAGCACAATATAAATTAATAAATTATTATTATGACTTCCATATTACCCTTTGAAAAAATTTCGCACACTTCATGGCTGCACTGGCGAACTCTTGTAAATTTCGCAGTTTTTGTAAATTTCGTAATTTTCGCAAGTTTGTTGGGCAGTTCCTTGTAACCCTTTGAAAATATTTTGTATATTTCATGGATGGGCAGGCAAATTATTGTAAATTTCGCAGTTTTTGTAAATTTGTAAAATTCATAACTTTGGCAAATTTCGTTGGGGACTTCCTTGTAACCCCTGGAATAAATTTTGTATATTTCATGGATGGACTGGCGAATTATTGTAAATTTCGCAGCGTTCATAAATTTCGTAAAATTCGTAATTTTCATAACTTTGAATGGGCCTTCCTTCCAACCCTTTAAATAAATTTCAGAGATTTCTTAGATGGTCTGGTAAATTATCATAAATTTCGAAGTTTTCACGTGACCCTTAAATAAATTTTGTAGATTTCGTCAATGGTGTGACGGATTATCGTAAATTTAACAGATTTTGTAAATTTCACAATTTTCGTAAGTGTTTTTGGGACTCTCCGAGAAACCCTTGAGTTAATTTCTAAAATATTTCATCAATGGTCTTGCGAATTTCCGTAAATTTTTCATAAGTGCATTCGATACCAGACATAACTCTCTTTGAACCAAGTAAAAACATATTGGCCATTACAGAGGAGGACATTACTTCCCGTTTCCATGATGTGATTAGAAACTACCTTTCTCAAATACTGAGGGGCTCTAAGGAGAGCTAGCAACATAAAATATTCAATGGTCACATTTTCTCAGAAGGAGAAGAACCAATTGAGAAGAATGATTTAAGTTTAATGTAAGTTTTGACAAATAAAGAAAGTCATACTTATTTTATGGTTAACTTAATTGCAAAGCACTTCCACAGAATCAAGCAAAAAATATCTAATGGAGGTGATATTGCCAGAAGCTCTCATTTGCCTCTGTTGCCATCAGTTGAAAAGCACAAACATGGTGGCAGGAGTAAAGTAGGGGAGTTCTTGGAGAAACTATGGCAAAAAAGAAAAGGAAAAGAATCCAAAAAAGAAACATGCACCAAAAAGGTCAGAAGCTGATCTGGAAATTAAGTTTGTGAAGTGTTCAAGAATGGACCAAAAACCCATCATAAAATGCAAATGCCACATTTCCAACTGGATGGCAATGATGCTGACATAAGAAAGTGTCATGTTTACAGACAGGCACATCCAAATTGCCAAGGAACTGTTGTGTCAGCATTATCCCCACATTGGAGAACTATTGATTTAATTTGCATAGTTATGGCTGGCAAAAAATTGCCAAAATCGTCAATTCCATGAACATTCACTCAGTTTGACAAAATTTTGTCAAATCTGCCATTTTAGTTACTGCATGCATTTCTGGACATAAGTGAGTTTTTTGCGATAATGAAAGATATTATCATCTTCTTGTGACCTCATCATTTAAATAATACCAAGCTCATGGTAGCATCATGGCAGTGCATCTTCAAACCATGAAACCAACTCAGGCTTTATTTCTGAAGAATTCTTTGCTTGTTTATGTTCAGTGTTCCAAGGGATGACTTCCCAATAGGCTTGGCTCATTTCAGTTGCATGAAGCTGATTTGTCACAAAATTCACCCGAGTTTCATCAACAAAATGAACGAAAGATGTGTTGCATTGGTGCTCTTGGTCGATGGAAGCAAGATTGACAACATATTTAAGGATGCTAAGAGCCTGGCTCTCATTTGCATTCTTCCTTCATGTGATATTATTTCTTGATTATGAGTGGCACATTCTGGGTTATTGTGCTCTGGGAAAAATTCCCAAGTTGAAGAAGGCTTTGCAAAGGGAGAAAATTACAAATTTAACAATTGCCAACCAAAGAAGGAATTGGATACACCAAGTAATACACCTCAGATTTTCTGGAGGTGTAAACACTGTGAAGAAGAGACTTGGGAAAAACATTATCCTCAAAATACATACAACTCAAATTTATGTTAAGCTGAATGGTCATTGTGTATTGAGCCTAAAGTATAAGATCTTCAAATTGTAAAAATAAAGTTAACTGACCACTTTCATTCTAAGTCATGTAGAGTTGCAAGCAGAAAAGAAGGCATTTTATTTTAGCTAAATTCTCTGTAGAAATGGAACTTTTTACATATGAAAATAACAAGACAGTTTTTTGTTTGGTTTCTTCTCTAGTCATATTTGACAGGTTGTGTTATTATTGTAAGATTTCTGATGTCTATGGTCCCCTTATAGAACACTATTTCACAAACCTATGGCTCTATCTATAATTATCCGAGGACAAGAGTATCTCTTTCTTGAATTCAACAGATACCCTTGTCCTGAGATAAATTGAAGTAGAGACAAGAATTTGGTGAAATTTAAAAATTCAGGGGAAAAAAATTAAAAATTCAGAGAAAATAAATTCAAGGACAGTGACCATGTT